GTGTGTGTGTGTGTGTGTGTGTGTGTGTGTGTGTGTGTGTGTGTGTGTGTGTGTGTGTGACACAGAGAATGGAGAAACACCTGGACAAACATCTGTGTCATAAGAACTACCTAAAATTATTTGAGGTGTACTTTCACTGTTTAGGAAGAGGAAATGTCGTCCATCTCTATACACAGTTTATGGTTGAGAGCAACACAGCAGGTGGTCAGTCAGAGACAATATATTCTCCCTTTTGGTTAAATTGAATGATTCTCCCAGAAAATAAACCGAGTGACTTCACACTGATCATTGAACTGTGAGGGCTTCTGACAAGGGAAAGCTCCACTGAGCGCATGAGGTTTTGGTTTCTTTTCTTTGCTTATTTCTGACCAAACAGAGCTCAACACTTTGAACATCTCTTACTCGTCTGACTCGTATTACTTTTTTTTTTTTTACTTTATGTTTTCATTTAACGTGATCAGCGTCATGTCACTTCCTTTTCTCTGTGTGTAACCAGTTCAGTGTCTGGTCGATGCAGCACTTTCTAGCTGAGTGCGGTCTCTCATATTGTAGTCTACGTTTATACAGGAGAACCAGAGCCGCCTGTCTTCGCTGCTTATCGTCGGCTTGGCTTAACACATCTGATTGTTTCATTCTCTCGCGTTTAAATGCCTCCAGACAAATGACAGTCATTTGTACAGACTCCTTGAATTTTACAAATTAAGAACCACTTATGTTTCTAGGCTGATCCACAAAGGCTTTTTAAACTCCAGCTAATTGTATTTTATTTTGTATTTTCTAATGTGTAATAAAAATCATTATTGGGAGTTTTGGCCAGAATATATAATGCATTTAATTGAAACAGAATAAATATTAAACATGTAGTTTTGCAGTTTGTGTGTTGTGTTTGTTTTACATTGGTACTTTTGTTTTCAACAGCCGATGGTGAATGATTTTCTAACACTAATGATGCAATATTATGAAATTCAAATGTGCTTTAAACTTTCCAATTTTCAAGGGAAGTTCCAGTTGAGATGCATTCTGGGAAATGAAGTTTTCAGTGCTTTGGGAGTTACATTTGTAATGTAAGACTAAAAGTCAGAATATGTCTGCTGCTTCAGTGATTTTTCTTTATTTTTTTTAAATCTGTCTTT